GCCAGGCTCCTCTCTCCATGGACTTCTCCAGGCCATAATACTGGAGTTGGTAGCTGTTCCCTTCTCCAGGCGATCTTCCCAACCAAGGGATCGAACCCAGGTGTCCCACCTTGCAGGCAGATTCTTTACTGTCTGAGCCACCACGGAAACCCATAATATGGCAACACAATTCAATCCATAATATAGAGTGTGCAGAGGAGAAATGGGAAACAAGGAAATATGAATAGACTCTTTAGATAACTATTCTGAGAAGTTTTATTATGAAAAGAGAGAAGATTATATGATAGGATGCAGAGTTGATGGAATATTGCATTGTTTTGATTTTAATATGGGAAATACTTTAAAAATTTTAAGGTTCATAGGAGAAGTTGTACAAAGTTTGAGAGGAATAACTGATGGATCTAAGTACTAGAGAAGGCATTACAAGATGGATACAAGAGAAGAAGGATTGGCATTTCCTATAAAGGAAGAGGAATACTTCTGTTATAACTGAAGGGAGGAATAATGGAAAAGTGCAGAATTAAATAGGTTTGTTAGCTTGTTAGTATAAATTCATATAGTACCCATCTCATAGATTCTTCTCCTTCTTCTCCTCCTCCTGCTTATTATTATTATCATATGAGGGAATGCAGTCATAAACTGAGAATAAGTAGGCAGTAGAGTTGAAAGTTTAAGAAAGTGAAATTTTTAATGAAAATTTGTTGTCTTCATTAGAAGTTTTTATTGTATTTTCAAAATATTTTTCATTTATATTATTGCCTAGGAGATATTGCTGAGTAGGTTTTTGTATTTTTATTTTATTTATTTATTTACTTTTTAATTGGAGGATAATTGCTTTACAATGTTGTGTTGGTTTTTGTTTTTACAACTACTAATAGCCCCAGAAAGAATGAAGCAGCTGAGCCAAAGCAGAAACAATGCTCAGTTGTGGATGTAGCTGGTGACAAAAGTAAAATCCAGTGCTGCAAAGAACAGTATTGCATAGGAACCTGGAATATCATGTCTATGAATCAAGGTAAATTGGATGTGGTGAAGCAGGAGATGTAAATAAACATCAACATCGTAGGAATCTGGGTCAGTGAAATAAAATGGACAAGAATGGGTGAATTTAACTCAGCTGCCCATTATGTCTACTACTGTAGGCAAGAATCCTGCAGAAGAACTGCAATAGTCTTCATTATCAGCAAAGAGTTCAAAATGCAGTACTTGGGTACAACCTCAAAAATGATAGAATGATCTCAGTTCGTTTCCAAGGCAAGCCTTTCAACATCACAATAATTCTGGTCTAGTCCCCTACCACCGATGCTGAAGAAGCTAACAATCAGTTCTATGAAGACCTAGAAGACCTCCTAGAACTATTACCAAATAAAGATGTTCTATTCATCATTAGGGATTGGAATGCAAAAGTAGGAAGTCAAGAGATACCTGGAGTAACAGGCAAGTTTGACCTTGGAGAACAAAATGAAGCAGAGCAAAGGCTAACTGAATTCTGCCAAGAGAATGCACTAGTCATAGCAAACACCCTTTTCCAACAACACAACAGATGATTTTATATATGGACATTGCCAAATGATCAATACCAAAATCAAATTGATTACATTCTTTGTAGCTAAAGATGGAGAAGCTGTATACAGCCAGCAAAAACAAGACCTGGAGCTAATTGTGGCTCAGATCATCAGCTTCTCATAACAAAATTCTGGCTTAAACTAAAGAGAGTGAGAAAAGCCACTAGGTCAGCCAGGTATGACTTAAATCAAATCTGCTATTAGTATGCAGTGGAGGTGATGAATAGATTCAAGGGATTAGATCTAGTAAACAGTGTCCCTGAAGAACTATGGATGGAGATCCATAATATCATACAAAAGGCAGTGAATAAGACTATCCTGAAGAAAAGGATAATAAAGCAGGCAAAGTTGTTATCTGAGGAGCCTTCACAAATTGCTGAAGAAAGAAGAGACGTGAAAAGCAAGGAAGAAAGGGAAAGGTACATTGAACTAAACGCAGAATTCCAAAAAATAGCAAGGAGAGACAAGAAGTTCTTCAATGAACAGTGCATAAAAATAGAGGAAAACAACAGAAGGGGAAAGACTAGAAATCTCTTCAGGAAAATTGGAAATATCAAGAGAACATTTTGCCCAAAGATTGGCACAATAAAGGACAGAAACAGTGTCTATCTAGTAGATGCAAAAGAGATGGAAAGAATACATGGAAGAACTATACAAAAAAGATCTTAATGAACTGGATAGCCATGATGGTGTGGTCAGTCACCCAGATCCAGACATTCTGAAATGTGAAGTCAAGTTGGTCTTAGGAAGCACTGCCGTTAACAGAGCTAGTTGATGAGATGTAATTCCAGTAGAGCTATTAAAAACCCTAAAGGATGATGCTATCAAAGTGTTGTACTCAATATGTCAGCAAATATGGAAGACCCAGCAGTGGCCACAGGACTGGAAAAGGTCAATCCTTATCCCAATTCCCAAGAAGGGTAGTACTAAAGAACGTTCAAACCATCAGACAATTGCACTCATCTCCCATGCTAGTAAGGTCATGCTTAAAATCTTGCATCCTAGGGTTCAGCATTACATGAACCAAGAACTTCCAGATGTCCACACTGGGTTTAGAAAAGGAGGAGGAACCAGAAATCGAATTGCCAACATTCTATAGATCATAGAGGAAGCAAAGGAATTCTAGAAAAACATCTACCTCTGCTTCATTGACTAGGGTAAAGCCTTTGTGGATCACAACAAACTTTGGAAAGCTCTTAAAGAGATGGGAATACCAGACTGTCTTACCTGTCTCCTGAGAAACCTGTATGCAGGTCAAGTACTGAGAAAGGAGTACGACAGGGCTGTCTGCTGTCACCCTCTTTATTTAAGCTATATGCTGAGCACATCATGAGAAATGCCAGGTTGGATGAGTCACAAGCTGGAATCAAGATAGACAGAAACATCAACAACCTCAGATGTGCATATGGTACCACTCTAATGTCAGAAAGCAAAGAGGAACTAAAGAGCCTCTTGATGAGAGTGAAGGAGGAGAGTTAAAGAGTCGGCTTAAAGCTAAATACTAAAAAAAACTAAGATCATGGCATCCAGTCCCATTACTTCAAGGAAAATGGGGGCGGGGGGAAGAGATGGAAGTAGTGACAGATTTCCTCTTCTTGGGCTCTAAAATCACTGTGGATGGTGACTGCAGCCTTGAAATCAGGAGACGATTGCTTTTTGGCAGGAAAGCTATGACAAACCTAGACAGTGTGTTGAAATGCAGAGACATAACTGTTGACAAATGTCTGTATAGTCAAGGTTATGGTCTTCCCAGTGGTCACATATGATTGTTAGAGCTGGACTGTAAAGAAGGCAGAATGCCAAAGAATTGATGCCTTTGAACTGTAGTGCTGGAGAAGAATCCTGAGAGTCCCTTGGATAGGAAGGAGATCAATTCCCAGTCAATCTTAAGGGAAATAAACCTTGAATACTCATTGGGACGACTGATGCTAAAGCTGAAGCTCCAGTATTTTGGTCACCTTGATGTGAACAGCCTGATTCATTGGAAAAGTCCCTGATGCTGGAAAAGATTGAGGGCAGGAGGAAAAGAAGGCATCAGAGAATGAGATGGTTGGATGGCATCACTGATGCAATGGATATGAACTTTGGCAAGCTTTGGAAGATGGTGAGGGACAGGGAGGGCTGGCATGCTGCAGTCCATGGGGTCACAAAGCCAGACATGACTGGGTGACTGAACAACAATAAGAGTTAGAAGTTTAAAGAGAGGGAAATTTTTAATGAAAATTTTTTGTCAGTCTTAATTAGAATTTTTTATTGTCTTCATTGTCAAAATATTTTTCATTTATATTATTCCCTAGGAGATATTGCTGAGTAGGTGTTTGTATTTTTATTTTATTTATTTACTCCTTAACTGGAGGATAATTGCTTTACAATGTTGTGTTGATTTCTGCCATACGATGTGAATCAGTCATAACTATATATACCCCCACCATTTTTTAATGAAATTGATTGCAAAATAAGGAATTGCAAATAGCTAGAGATGCATAGGAGCATTACCAGATAATAGTGTGCAAGAGTTGATAGGTGATTACACATGTATAAAGAAAACAATCTACTCATTTGCATGAATTGTTATCACATGATAAATTGCCAACATAAGAAGTGGATTGATCTAATATGAATTAGATCAATTAATATTTGGAATTTTGCCAGGTTGATGTGACAGGACAATGACAACAAGATTTTTATTTATTAATAAGAAAATACTTGAAATTATTAGCTATGATACATAAATAGGGGAGGGTATGAAGTCAGGAGTGACTGATGAATTAGAAGAAATAAAGGGGTCTAATGAGACTGACATAGTGGAGGAGTAGGATTAGTTAAGTAGGATCAAGTACAGAACTTTACCCCTCCAGTTTCACCTGCATATTCAATTGTGGGTGTCATCTGCTGCCAAAGGGAGAGTGCATCAGTAAGGGGAAGAATCACAAGTGAAAATATCCAACATATAAGTTGATTAAAGATAAAAGTTTATGTCTCACAGAAAAGACTTCTAGAACTGTGTGATAGAGTAGCCCCATGAAACTGTCAAAAACCCAGTTCATTTTAATTTCTCCACCATCCATGTCGTATTACATGTCATGTAGTTTTTGAGTTCTAGCCATCATGACATATTACAGTCAGCAGAAAGTAAATAAGAATAGAAAGGCACAATTTAATGACACATCCTTATAATTCAGCTGATATACAGCATCATCATTTATTCACTTTCAATAGAGGAGGTAAAGAAATCTAATATTTATATGAGGCTGTCATAGGAAAATGTAATAATAAGAAGGATCTACAACTAAAAAAGAAGGGAGAATTGATATGAGGCAATCATCAATCTGTGTCCAGAGCTTCATCATGAGAATGAACCAGTAAGGAATAAGAAAAATATTTATTTGTATCTCACTGGGGGAGAATTGTGATTTTCATTGGGGGTCAAAGTAATCATTTCTCATGGAATGGGGTAGACATCTGAATTACAACATCAGCACATTCTCCTTCACCTGGACAGATGGTTAGGGAGCCTGACTCAGAGGACCAAAGTCTGAAAAGTGGTCTTAGGACACCATAGAATGTGTTTTGGGGAAAGGTGAAGATGTGAGATCCATCTGTCATATTATAGAAAGATACATCTCCAGCCTCATAATCCAGAAATACCCTCACAATAAAGGGTTTTTCTCTTAGAGTAAGATGGGTTTCTGGGGAGGTGAGGGCCCAATACTCCCCCTCATAGAACCTAATGGCCCAGAAACCATTCTTCGGGGACATTGTGACCCTCCCCTTCCTTGTTACATTATCCCTACAAACTCCCAGGTCCCAGGAACAGGCGTTCCCAACCTCTACTTCCCAGGAGTATCTCCCTGAGATGATGTGCAATTGACCCAGCACACAGGGAATGGAGCTGAATCTCTGTGGGGAGCTGGGAAGATCTTGACACCTTTCTTGCCAGGAAACATATCTCCCTTCTTCAGACAGGAGGAGGGCAGAATGAGCTGTTTCTGCATCCAGGGTCATATTTACTGCAAAGACAAGTAGACCATCATGTTTCTGGGCAGGGTTTCAGTAGGCCTGGGCCAGAGGGTTCTCATTCTCTGAGGACTCCTTTGACCCTGGGTAGATCAGCTCACTTCTACCCAACATTCTTCCAGACTGTCCCACAAAGAAAAAGGTCCCTCGTGGATCATTGCATACTCACCAGCTTTGAATTCTTCTTTCCTCCAATCTACAAGGAACAAGTGAACATGAGAATCTACCATCTGAAAAACAAAGCTGCCTGTCTGTCCACAATACTATGAGTATAAACTCCCTAGGATTAATTCAAGAATAATAGCAATCAAAGAAAATACCCTTTTATAAGTTAAACTATTTTTTTTAAACTTTCTTCTAAATTATGTCTGACTTGAGATGTGACCCATACCTACCCCTCTAAGTTGACATTCCTGCGGGATAAATATCTAGACTCTATTTACAGTGCTTGAGAGAAAATAGGGAACGTGGTGTTTCTGACAAAATAACTTGTTGATCACATTAGTTTCCTCAGATTTTAGCCAATGAAAGCAACTTTATATGGAATGTAAGACACAGTTAAAATGTCTTCTAAAATTTAGCATTTCATACACATTATTATCTCATTGTATTGCATAATCTATGGAATTCATGTTATGTATGCTTTGGAATTTCTCTGATTTTCAGTATATGTTTTCCACACAGTAGATGTTCATTTAAAATATTTTTGATCATAGGATTTTCTTAAGCAGGGTCTATGTAACTCACCGGGGTATAATGGTGCATTCCTCCAGGCTGCAAAAGAATAAAATAGGAAATCCTTTACCTTTTTTTTTTTTTTCCTTACCAGATTTCTCTTACTATCATTTTCTTTTTCTGTTGTCTTTATTCCCTTTCTTGTTTTGAATCCCTTGGGCTTTCTCTTTCTATCCTGTATTACTTTCATATTCCATTTTGTTCAAACATGAAAATAAAAGTGGTCAGGTGTAGGAAAGGTAGAAATGAAGAAGCAACAAAAGATCAGAGGGATATTGGAGGATGGTGAGGAAGATTAAATCAAAATGAGAAGGAAGAAAGGAGGAAAGGAAAAAAAAATGCTGAATCACTCATCATTTACCCTTCAAAGACAATTCACTGAAATTATAGAAATTTAGAAGGTAATGCTAGAAATTCTTCTTTGCTGACTACAGATATTTTTATTTTGTTCTCCCATCCTATCCTACTGCACTAGAGGCAAGACTCAAGATAGACACAAGAATGGAGTTTTCTGAGAGCTAAGCATTACTCACCATGTTTGAATTGAGCCTTCCTCGAATCTGAGAGACAATATAGAAACACACGTATATGAGACAGGATTTCTTAACATCATAAGGAAAATGCAATTAAAGCCACACATCTGCCAATGTTTGTGTTTGCATACTGATCAGGTATTGATCACTCAAAAAGAATGATAGAAATCTCTAAAGTTCATTCCATATGAAACATTTACTAGAGTGTGAAGAATACAGTTTGATATGTAGAGTGATGAGGATATAAATAATTCTTATAATAGGTTACTAAAATTGTATAGGAATATTTTATAAAGTCATTTTAGAGTTTAGGAATATATTATGAATGAAGTTATTCTGAGTCAAAATGCAATACAAAAGACACTGAAAGATGAACAATTTGTTGAGTAATTGAATTAATCAAAGGAAATATGAAAGAAGAATAATAGCTATGGTAGGAAACAAAAAGTACAAGGCAAAATCAATAAAAACATTTATATACTTTGGTGTCTTGAGAATACGGTCAAGAGAAGTTCACTAGCAAGTCTTAAGATTACATCTCTTATCAATAGACAAAGTCCTTCTGGATGAAATTCTCTCACTCACCAGGTTTGAAGACTGAACCCTTCTAAGAACTGGGGCAATATCATGTACAAAACAATGGGCCTTGCATCTCAGAGGACAACTTGGAGAACCCAAGTTAAAGAAAACTTTTTATTAAATGGAGAAAACCACATTCTTCTAGCCTAATCCTTTTCATGTCAACAAGCTTATGATGAAATTGTGATGATCATCTGAAGATTATATCAGAGGAAGGAAGGGAAACAAAGAAAGTATGTTTCTAGAAATTACATCACCAAAAGGATGTAAGGATAACAGTTACCAATTTCATTCAGAAGTTCCCCTGAAAAGTAAAATGGAAGAAACTCAAATAAGTGTCAAGGAAAAACAACACAGAAAATGAAAATAACCTGAAAATTTCCAGTTCACAGAAAATGGTAGGATGAATGTAATCAGAAAACAAAACAAAACAGTACAAAATGGGAAAATGGCAAGGAATTCCACTTCTATCTTAGAAAAGTGAGAAAAAGAAATGAATTTCATAATTGACTGAATAAGAAGAATGACTAAGGTGTTGACAGAAACTAACTAGGATTTGATCTGGTCCATATTTCTTTTATGCATAGTTTTAAGGATATAAGTAGTTAAAAATTTCTATTAAAAATATACTTAACAAAATAATCTTACAGTGAATGTTATCTTGGTTGTGGTGTAGTGATGTTGATTTTCTAATTTCACAAATCTTTCCAAATATATTAGATTAAGCAGGGTATCTTTAAGTGAAAACATCATTTGTATATTTAGGGTAAACATGTGTAAGCCCTGAAAAAGTCTTTCAGGAAGATGTCACAAGCATTGATAAAGTGAATGGCTGCAATAAGTCAGGGTACAATATTTTTGTAAGGCAGATGGTTTATAAACCTTTACACTTAACACAACTGCAATATACTTAGCCTAGTTGTCAACTGAAGGACTTTCAAAATCAGTTGTGAATTGAGTGTTATGGCTCTAACTAAATTCTTTCCATTCTTAGTAACTTACATTATTGAATGTTTTCTAGAAAACACATATAGAGTAGAAACCATCTACCTATCAACTTCATGCCTTTCATCTCACCAACTTCTTAATGAAACTTGCAAGTCCTTGCAAGACAGACGAAGCCAGTCTTTATAGGGAATGCATGGTATGAAGTGAAAGAGAAGGAATGGAAAAGCAGAGAAGGTAGGGAAACAGAAATGGACAGATTTAAAATGGGAGAATTCCCACACCAAAATATTAAGGTGGAACTAGTAGACATGCAGGAGAAAGGCATGCCAAAACAAGGAATACAGATTGGAAGTCAGGCAATGTTAAATGTTGCATCAGTCATTAAAAGGGGATCAAGACTAATGAGACAGAAAATTTACCTAGTTTATTCCGAAGTACTTCTAAAAAAAAAAAAAAGGAAAATAAGTGTAATGACATGGGAAAAAAACTACAAAGAGAATGCAAATTTATTGGAAAATTCACATTTAAAATTAACCATATCCAGTTTCAGGTGAACACACACACACACACACACACACACACACACACACACACAGAAATGGACTCAGAGGTCGGTATTGTTCAAAGATATGCTACAGTAAATGAAGAAAGGAGAAACAGAGTTAATGTAGTTATTAGACAAATTTTTTAGGATTGTTACTTCTGGTGGTTAATTTGTAAAATTACTCTTGATCCCTTTGGCAATATTTTGGCTCCTGTTGTCTTGTTCATTAGTTTTAGTATGGTCATTGGATGTTTTTAGATGTATTAGTCAATTCTTATCATGGCAGTAGCTACAGTGTATAAAGTTGCCACAAACACTGTATAAAGGAATACCGAAGCACTGTTTGCATAGATCATATACTGTCAGGTTTCTGAGTGCCTCTTTTTACAACCATTATTGTCACCAATTAATTTGCTACCTTGTTGTACTTGAGTTTCTGTTTAATTAATGCGTGAATGAAACAACCCGATCACATGGGTGCTGAATCCAGGAGAAAGGAGTAGGTTTTCTGAGAGAGATTCTGTTTCTCAACAACCATACATTTTACTGTTTCTCCTCCTCTTTGAGAGAAAATATCTAAATACACAATATAAAACAGGTTTTCTGAACATTATAAAGCTGCGACTAAAGCTCTACCTCTCATGATTGTTTCTGCGACATTTTCAAGTCATGTTCTTTTTGTAATTAAAGAGGTACATCTCTATAACCCATTCTACTTAAAATATCACTACAATTTGAAGAACCCTATCAAGTGATATGTAGAGACATAGGATCTTAAATAATTTTTGTGCTAGAATATTAAAAAGAACTGTGTAATTATCTCAGGACATAACTTTAGACTTTAGTGATTTATTATCAATGAAATTTGAGTGAAAAATTATGTATAGGATCCAAAAGGAAGAGTGATTTGGCAAATTAATAATCAAATGAGTAAAAATAAAAATGAAATAGGATTAATGACTATGGTTGGAAATGGAAAATAACTAGGCCAGGAAGGACTAATGTTGGAAGGACTGACGTTAAAGCTGAAACTCCAATACTTTGGCCACCTGATTCAAAGAACTGACTCATTGGAAAAGACCCTGATGCTGGGAAAGATTGAAGGTGGAAAGAGAAAGGGATGACAGAGGATAAGATGGTTGGATGGCATCACTGATTCAATGGACATGAGTTTGAGTAAACTCCGGGAGTTGGTGATGGACAGGGAGACCTGGAATGCAGTGGTCCATGGGGTTGCAGAGTTGGACACGAATGAGAAATTGAATTGAACTGAACTGATGATTAGTGATTTGGAACATTTTTGTTTGTTTTACAAACCTATTGGCCATTTGTATGTCTTTTTGGAGAAATGTTTATTCAAATTTTCTGTCCATTTTTAATTGAGTTACTTGATTTTTGCTGTTTTGAGCAAAATAGTTTTTTTGTTTTTGTCATTTTGAGTTATTTGGTTTTTGCTATTGAATTGAATTCCTTATATAGTTTGGATATTAACCCTTTCAGATACATGGTTTGTGAAAATTTTCTTCCATTCTCTAGGTTGTCTCTTTACTTTGTTGGTCATTTCCTTTGCTGTGCAGAAGCTTTTGATGAAATCCCATTGGCCTATTTTCAAATTTTTTTATTGCCTGTGCTGTTGCAGTCATATAAAAAATAT